CTCTCCTGGGTGTTAATGGAGTTGGTTCTTCTCTCCTCTTCACTCCCTCCTTTTAACTCCATGTCCTGTGGAAGTCAGCTGGAAGTTGGGTGGGCACACTTGAGATGGGGCTGAGAGTTATGGGTTCCAATACTAGCAACTGTGAGTAGCTACAGAAGACCATGTACATGCATACAGTGTGTACATGAATACAGCTTTAAGACAGAGAGTACGTATGACCTCAAGTACCTGAGCAAAGAGGTTAGGAGCTTAGGAACATCAACAGCTTAGTATACTGGCAGCCACCAGAAGTGACATGTGACCACAAGAAAGACTGGCTGAAGATTAGAGCAATTCTTGCTCATTTCTAGAAAAGACTAGAGAACCTGGTGAAGGGTGGGGGTGTGTGGAATTCGGGCAATCTGTGTAAACGCAGAGTTCACTACTTTGTGTTAACTGCCAACAATATTATTACAATAATAATGAAAACTAATGATCTGCTTCTGTGATATGTGTGTATATGTATGTGTACTTGCTAAGCACTTCATCTGACAAAGTAAAAATCAACATCATTTCAATGACCCCAAAAGGTATTTTTGAAAGCTTAAAAGATGTTAATAATTTGAAAGGCTATTTTGACAAATCAATCCCCAAATATTTTGGAGTAAAATATACAAGACAGCATTTTCAAAAATATTAAGTTATATGATAGATATAGGCAAGATCTACTTATTGACTAGCTCTTAGATCAACTCCTTTGTTTTTAAAAAGGGTCACTTATCATCTAAGCCTTCCTCTGTTTTAAACACTAAAGACAGCACTGGCTAGATTATAATTACTCCTAGTTTGGTATTATTTTGAATAACGCTTTTGTCTAACAAAAATTTGGCACCAGGGAGGCTTATGTATTCATTGATTCACAATGCTGACATTTAATAGCCCTTGGTATCATGAAAATTAGGATCAGGCTTATATTATAGTTAAAAGGTAGGAATCCATAGAACGTGGCCATAACTTCTAGGGGGGAAAAAATCTACTTTTGAACCATTACAGCTTTATTTCACTATTTGACAAAAGAAAATATATTTCTCTTTCTCCAATTTACTTTATTTTCCCAGTCACTATCAAGTCTGACACAGGTTCAAATTCCTATTCTGCTATACTTACTGACCCTGGAGATCCTGATCCTGGAGATGTTCAACTTTTCTGAGTTTTAGTTTTGTTAACTACTGGTGGAATGGAAATGTTAACCTACCAACTTTATGAGATTGTTGTATGAACTGAATCATGTAAGATAAGAACGCTTAGACATATCACTATCTCTGAAATAAAATTCTGTAATTAACACTGATTTTTATCACTCTGGATAGAAGAAAATTTCTATGTGTAGAAAATAATTTTCTTTCAAAGTCAGACCTTTCCTCTGAAATGTGTTATCAGTATTTCAGACTAAATCATTTGGGCTCCACAACATGGCATTAAATCCTAGTAAATCCTAGGGCAATGACATATATAATAATAATTATTATTATTTTATTTAATAAATAATATAATAAATAATAAATAAATATAATTATTTTGACTTTATTTATAAAGATTTCTATTTATTTATTTGAAAGAGAGAGAGATCATGAGCAGGGGGAGGGGAAGAAGTAGACTGCCCTGCTGAATAGGGAGCCTGATGTGGGGCTTGATCCCAGGACCCTGGAATCATGACCTAAACTAAAGGCAGTTAACCAACTGAACCACTCAGGTACCCTTGGCTATGTATACTTAGAAAACAAATGAAACCTTCTGGGCAAAAGCAGGTCATTCAAGGTCATTCAGAATTTTTAGAGGACCTTAAATTTGGACTGGAAAAAAGCACTGAAGTCCATTATTATAACCCACACATTTAACAAAAGAAAAGTGAGTCACAAAGAACTTAAATGGATTTGGTCAACTGGTATATATAGGTAATAAGTTAAGAAAATCTAATAACTTATATTCCAATTGTTCTTTTACACTATGTAATACTACTCTGCCTTTATAAATTTTGACTGTTTTGCCTTTTTAATTAACAGTGCTTCTTCTATGTCCAAGTGACTTTAATTTTTCCAAAAGTTTGCTATTTCAACTGCTTCTAGGCAATCAAAAATCTTCTATCAGGTTACTTATCCAAACAACTATTTCCCCTTTATGCCTTCCTATGAAAATGCTGATTTTCTGCATATATGTAATGGCCAAGAATGGCCAGACAACCAGTGATGGTAAGCCTCTATTCCTGCCCCAGGAGATAAACCAGGTAATAAACAATGGTTGATCTAAGCAGGAAGTTAATCCCATTCTACCTTTGTTGGTGGATCAGAGTTTAGAGTAAACTAGTAAGCAAAGGAACCTGAGGAGGGAGTTTTAAGGGGATTTTAGAAAAGATGCTTTTGCTTGATTAAAAAAGGAAACAAAGAAAAAAGGAAACTTACAGTAAAGGTCCCCTTTCCACTTTCTTTGGTTGTTTTTCGTAAGCATATAATGCAGCAGTCTTATCTACTATGAGGAGAAAGCTAAAAGTCTCAGAGAAAAGCTCATCCAGAGCTCTGAAATTACTCTTAACCAACCCCAAAATCACCTTGCTCTAGATTATATATGAGCAATAAACCTGTATTTAGTTAGGCATTCAATTATTTGTGGTCCAACTTTAGTATTTCTAGCAAAATCATCTTACATATAGCTTCTACAACAAAAGTCTTCTTTCTCAGATCAAATAATATAAATGCATTTTAAATTAAGAGTTTTGTTAAAAATCAATTAGGTGTATTAGTAAAAAAAGATGTTATCTGGTGGTCCACAGTATCCAAAACTTCAGGACATGACTGAAGAAACTAAAATAATATATCTAAAATAATACAATGTTTATTATGTTTATTCAGCATAGAAAGAAATCTGAATTTGTATATCCCTCTAAAAATTTATAAAAATAACTTCAAAAACTGTAAGTTTCAAAAAGATATTACTCTCAGTTACTTAAATTAATTTTTGAAAAACACTATTGTCACATTGACATGAAGCTTAAATATATTTATTACCTATCAAGAGTCATTTTATATGACAAAACATTGTTTTACCAAATGTATATATTGCCTCTTAAAAGAAAAAATTTACTATCTTGAATTAGAAAATGGCCACAGATTTAACAAATTGTAAAATATATGACAATACTCTCAACTACTAAGTCACATGAGAAAAGACCGAAAAGTAGCCATAAAAAAAAAAAAAACTTGTCAAAAACCCATGAATCACTGAAGACAACTGAAGAGTCACCCACCCTCAAGAAGGGCCAGCTGAGTTGAAATACTAAGTTTCAGAGTAAGGGCCCAAGTGAGGAGATGTTAAGAAATGATGGTTAAAAGTAAGTTAAGGGAGGAACCTATAAGTAGAGGATAAAAATCACAAATGTTTGGGGGTCACATGCTAGTGACACATAAACAACAGTTCCCAAGGATATCACACCAGAATAAACTGATGCTCAAGATGATTGAGTAATTTTTTTTAATTTAAAATAATTTGATTAGTACAGCAAAAGACAGTGCTGGCTATAATGAGACTTTGTAGTGATGGAGACATTAATCATGGTAAAGAGCAATATAGTCCAAACTTCCTCACCAAGATAAGATTTGTTAGAACTATTAAGAAAACAAGCAAACAAAGAAACCCAAGACTAGAGTTAAACAGAACAGAAAGCTCTTCCTTTTTATAGGTCTATACCACTAAAATTATTTTCTGTCCTAAGAAAAGTAGATTTCTTCAGGACACCCCAATTACGTAAAGTAACCAGGCACTCCATTTAAAATAAATATGTACATCATGAATTAGGTGCATGTATCCAATAAATATCAACTTGAACTCAATTCACTTAGGAAGGTTTAAAAAAAATTATAGCATTTCTTTGATCACTACCTAATGTAATAATGAACCATTTTAACTAAAGATCAAATTTATTTGGATAATCCAACTTTAAAAAGATAAATACTTTTTCTATCTACTTAATATTACCACAGTAGAACTGTATGAAAGAGTGAAGGAAAAGATGAGATGAACTTGCAGGCTTTCATAGAATTACCAATCATTTTAGGTCATCTGTTTTGGTGTTCCTACAGCAACTTTCTGACTCATGACCCCCTCACCCCAATAATTCAGAGGACTGACTTATGTATGAAAAATGTATTGTCAATGTATTTCCAGTGTCAATAACACACATTAATAAATCTGATCTTATTACAGTAAATTACATATTTTTAGCCTCAATTTAGTAAATTAAAGAAACTATTGGCAACTAGAAAAACACAGAGGAAATTATACATATACCCAATGTGTCTCATGTCAGTCCTGCACATTAAATGCACTGTACCTTTCAGTTTAGAAACTTTAAATACGTCTTTCTTTATTGAAAGACTCAAACAGACGAGTCTGTATATAATGCTTACAATGCTTATTTACAGAAAACAAATTTGATCTCATAGTTAAATTAGATATATTATAAACTTAATAGAAATGTCTTTTATTTAAAGTTCACAAAAAAGAAGCCTCATCTAAAATGCATACAAGTATTTAACAGTGAAGTCTCATGTTTACAACTTATTTCAAATGGGATTCAGAAAAAGAAAAAGAAAAACCACATGAGTGTGTATATACAGTATACATAAAAATAAGAGGGAAAGCAAATGTGGCAAAATGTTATCAATGCTGAATCTACAGGGAAGGTATATGGATATTCAGGGTATTTTTTCAGCTTTTCTGTGGAAAATTTTCCAAGTAAAAAGCTGGCAAATAACCCTCACAGACTCCTAATTCTCATGTGTTACACTCTTTATCCTGAATGTATGTCTAGCCCCTTTCTTTTGAGGCAATTACCTCAAGACCCTTCTGCCTTCATTTAAAACAACTGTTACAGAACTGTGTTATGTCTTTTTAACGGAATCACAACTCTAAGAAACAGTTTTTATACGTAGATTTAAAGGCCAGTGTCAGTGAATTAATTGTTTTACCTGAAAGTTAACATCTTCTTTCTTAAATATTAGTGCCCGAACTTCATCAGGATCTCCATTAAATATAGCTTGCACCAGCGATGGCTAAAATACAAGAAAGCAATAAAAATATTAATCACACTGTATGGATGATTCTAAAGATATTTACACATAACTTTTAAACCTAAAATTTTTCTTCTTTTTAGGAACAATAATCAATTTGGTTTCTGACATTAACCAAAATTTTCATTAAGTCAAATCATATGAAAATACAGGATTCTCCCCTGAATTAAAAAGGCCTAATTAAAAAAAAATCAATTCAGTATGACCAAAATTAGGTAGATAATAAGCCCAAACTTTATTTTTTGTGAGAAGTTTTTTGTTTATATATGTGTGTATACATATGGTAAAAACAAAGTGTCTTCCAAATACAAGTGTGACATCTCAACATCTACTTGTGGAACATAACTTGTCAAACAACCCATTCCTAGGCCACACTGAGGCCCATGAAGGTAGGCCTCTTTGGAAAGTTCCATTTGGGGCATTAAATAACTTGCGTGGGTTAGCATTACATGTTACACAGATAAAAATCCAAGAAAGAAAATCTAGCAATTGATTAAAATCACTACAATCCAAAGGCCAAAAAATATCATATACCTAAAAAACACGAAGAGGCAAACACATGTGTATCTAAATATAACAATTTCTTAACAACAGTTTCTCTCTGATAAGGTATCATACCAGTCAAAAAGAAACCAACTGACAACATTAAAAGTAAGGTTAAGGATGAAGTCTGATTCTTTTTCATATAAAAGTGCTAAATGTAAATACATAAAATTCATTACAGAAAAGGCTGTGCCTCGGTACTGCTAGCAGGAGCTTTCCTAAAACATACAGTTCCTCATTCTTGTTATAGCAGTTTTTGAAACCACAAAATGAAAACAGAAACGTGGTTGCCAGAACAAGCCCCAAGTTTTCTTTAAAAAAGTCTTTTCAAGAGAGTAAGAGATAGTAAAGTCTGAAATGTTATCTAAACATCTAAAGAAGTAAAAATCAGAAATGGGTGCATTTTATACCCAAGTAATAATGTATCATATTTACATACTTATATTGCTTTATTTAGGTTTTTAATGAAACTAGTGGAAACCAACTTGTTTATTCTTAAAAGATAAAATTTATCCTACTAGTTCAGTAGAAGACAGTAAACATAAACTCTCATATCTTACCAATACACTTCCGGAAGGTGGTGAATGTAGGGATTTATTTTCCTGTGGCAATTTAGAAATGAATGCAGGAGATTCATCTTCTACCTCCTCCAAAACAACAATACACACTCGACTCATTCGCTCTTTTAAAATACTAAATCCCAAGCTATGTGATAAAAGTCACAGTTGGAAGAGCACAAGTAGTTTTTCCTCCTCTTCTGTACAACACTTAGGATCATTCTCTGAATAGCGTAGCTGGTTTTTTAAAGTTAATAAGTACTATCAGAAAAACTGAGGTTTAAAAGTATGACTACATAACATAACTTCCTAAAAACAACAAAACTCTACTATCTTTTGCTGGGTTACTGTAATACTTAAAAGAAATTTCACATCAACATGTCAATAACTAAAACGAAGTCCAGTACAAGCTCATTTAAAAATATTTTTCCCCTACCAAAATAGTCATAATGCTCTCTGTCTCACAGAAATTTTACTTGCATAAAAAGATCATTGTTTGGGGTGACAACACCACACAATACAAAATGAAATGAGAAACAATTACTGTGACAGAGATGATTACAGTTATACCCACTCTTGTCTGCAAGGTCATATAATTACGAGTAGCTGTTTTGCTTGTAACTGGAAAAAAAAAAATCCCACTATTCTGTTTCCACTTCTAACTTGTCTTCATTTCTTCAGCTTCTGGTTATTGCAGATACTATCCAGAAAAAAAAATCTACAGCTCAGCACAAATTCTTAAAATGAAGCTCAGAGGTTGACAATTTTTTGTGTTTGGGAAAGAAAAAACAACAACAACACTCTGCATTAATAGCAAAGCTGCAGTACATTTACATGCGATGAGTCAGACCACAAGAGACAATAGGGCTCTTGGTACTAGAATACAGCTTGATTAATCCAGATATCCCATATAATAGAAGAAACACAGATAGCTTTATTCCCACCGATAGCACAAGCAAGGCAGAGCGTTCATTCTTTCTCCATCAGGCAGTTGTCTGTGGCTGCTCCAGCAAAAGGGCACAGCACCAGGCAGAAATAGTGTTAGCAGAAGATCCTAATGGAACAGGCAGGCTGTGAAGGAATTAGAAGGCATCTGAGCTCAAAATACTGCTTCAGGCTTTTCATTTAAAAAAAAAAGAGAGAGAGAGAAAAGCCCAGTAGTTTATCATTCCAGTGTTTCCTTTGATCTCCACATGAATACAGCTTCCATTAAATAGTCTTCATTCACAGGAAAAAAACAGCAGACTGTGCATCTTCTTTGAGCCAACTATTTTATTCAGTCATCTGCTCTGTGCCAATATAGTTTCCTTCCACTATAAAAACCGCTACAGTTATCCTTTTCAGTAGATTTCAGATGCTTTCCGTTCCTCAGATGATCTTGCAAAACGCCACTGATACCTCCAATGAGTAGATCCTTAAAAAATATCTACGGAACCTCAGGATCGGCCCCACAGAAGCATTCCAACTGAGCAACAGTCTGAATAGCAAAGACTGCAGAACCGCAGGATGAAATGCCTAGTAATGCTCACATGTTACACTTACCAGAGATCTGAGCTACTGCTCGGGATGTAACTTCCTCTAGCAGGAGAAAAAAATAGTGCATTTGGACAGCCTTCACAATTAGAAGGTTCATGCCAGTTCTGTGACTAATCCAGATCAAACTGAAAAATTCTGTAACTGAAAAATGAGTGCGCTTTTAACATTTTCCACTAAAAGCCACAAGGAAATCTGGTGTACTGCCTCTGCTGACTAACACTGGTTTTAGCAAGTAAACAATTCCAAACAGCTTAACTGCTTTCGTATGTTACAATACAGCAAATGTTTAACCCTATAATGACAGCTGCAATAAGAATGTCTGCAGTGAGCCCATAAAAGGGAGATGAAGGAGTATTTAAGAGACTATAAAAACACAAATCTAAGGTTTTATTCATGTTTTTTACCAAGATCATTTTTTAATAAAGCAGATGTATTTATTTTCAAAAATGCAAAGAAGTTCAAACAAAGAAATTTAAGATTTACTAACAATTTCTAGGTTGTTGAATTTAATCTATCAGGTCATATATTTAAAGGGAAAAAATAAACATTTCAAAAGGTAAAAATCCTAGCTCAAAACTTCTATGGATCATCTAAATTTCACTGAAGAAATTAAATAATTCTACCTTCCCATCTGGAAATGGAATAAGCCTTAAAATCTGTTAAATAGCTACATAAAACTATTGTTTAAAGTCCTTAGCATTAATTTTCTATACGTCAAAAAAGCACAGGGTAACATCAAGAAAGCAAAGATTCTCCTTCCTCTATAAAATTAATTTCCCTAAAGCTATAAATCAGGTGTCAAAAACAACCAATTTATAGTTGTGTTTCCCCTTCTTTCCCTATTTACTAAACAAGTCAGATATTTCCCAACAAAAAATTACATGAAAATACCGTGGTTTCCCTTCAATCTTTGTTCTTTCTCCTATCAACTAGCATTTTTATTCATAAATGAAATATTTTTGAACATTTATGACGAGCTGTTGTACACTCTCATTTAATAAAATAACCTTATGGTTCCATGTAATTAAGAGGAAAAACAGAGATGCAAAAATTAAGTATTTTATCCAAAGGCATATAAATTAGTAAAGTTGTGCCTAATTCCAAACACATTGCTCTTTCAAATCTATTCTGCTTCCACTGAGTGTACATACTTGTATATGTAGCCCCCAACCTTCCACTCTTCTCAAGATCTTTGCAACCTGTAATACTAAATACTAGACTGTATAAGTAATCTCTTTTTTTTTTTCTAAAAGATTTTATTTATTTATTTGACAGGCAGAGATCACAAGCAGGCAGAGAGGCAGGCAGAGAGAGAGAGGGAAGCAGGCTCCCCGCTGAGCAGAGAGCCTGATGCGGGGATTGATCCCAGGACCCTGGGATCATGACCTGAGCCAAAGGCAGAGGCTTTAACCCACTGAGCCACCCAGGCGCCCCAGTATAAGTAATCTTAAAAGACCGGTAACCTATAATGGCTGTGAGAAGTTCAGGTAACAAAGGAATATACTATTTATGACCATAATATTCCTAAACGAGTTATTTCAAAATGGGTTATTTCAGGACTAGTGTTATCATATGTGTGTAAGCCAATTTACTTACCAAAACATTAAAAAAAAAAAAAACAGCATGAAATAGATAATATAAGAATGCCAGAATTTAAGAACAAAAACCATTAAATGTCAATCTATGAAAAAACCTATAATCCTAATATAACTGTATCAAGATACTAAAATATGCTAACAATTCACAGAGTTGTATTTTAAAACCAAATTAAATATATGAAAATATTTTGACATACAAAATGATGTTAACTATCTCCACATGGCTAAATCAAAAATATCATCTTGATATGTGAAACATGTGAAAATGAAACCACTATGGTAATAGTATCTTCTATTCTATCTTCAGCATTGTTGGTTGTTTTTCCCCATCCCAAACAAAATCTCTTTTTATATAGGCAATTTTAACTTGTTCCAAAGTATCTAGTATATAAATTCACCTACTTAAATAGGTACATCCTGTCTCTTGTTCTACATCAACTTCCACACACAGGTTTTTCCTGGCCAGAGCACAAGCTCCTTGAAGGCAGGGACTATGTTTTTATATACACCATGCACGCATAAACATTTCCCTTCCACTTTTTTCCACTTACAAACAATTTTATTGAAAAGAATTCCAGTATGTCACAAGACTCTGGAACTGAGTGGCAAAATTATAAAACACAACAGGGAATTCATATGTATACATGAATACATATATATTAAGAGTATACATAGGGGTGCCTGGGAGGTGTAGTCACTTAGCTTCTGACTCTTGGTTTCAGCTCAGATAATTATCTCAGGGTCCTGAGATCAAGTCTCATAACAGCTCACACTCGGCCTGGAGTTTGCTTGAGAGTCTCTCTCCCTCTTCCTCTGCCCCTCTTGCTCATGTTCTCTTTCTAAAATAAATAAATTTTTTTTAAAAAGAGTATATATATTATGCACACACATACACACACACTTTAATCAGAAAATACATGAGGCACTAAAGTGCAGTAAAGTGAGTTTTGTACTTTTAGTAGGTAAGCAACTTAACATGCAGAAGTTGACAGGATATAAAACAATGATAGAGGATGACAGCTAAAATTAAGGCCTCAGGAGTCAGCCTACCCTGGAATTCAAATTCTGATTCCATTATTGATTAGCTGTGTCCTTAGGCAAGGCAAATTCCTGGAGCCTAAATTGTTTTACACTTATAAGAATAATAATCTCCAGAGATTTTTATTTGGGAGAAATACAGTAATAGCACCGTGGTTGACTGAGAACATAGGCTTTGTAGCCAAACCGATTGTGTTCTAAACTGGCTTCCCACTAACCTAACTATAACCTTGAGCAAGTTACTTAAACTCTCTGTGTCTCATTTCAACATTTATTAAAGGACATTTACAAAATCTAGCTTGAAATAAAATGAAGACAGTCTTATTATGATGGATATTTAGGATAATAGAATGATATCCCCTGTGAGGGCAGTGGTAAATAGAGGACTACTGATGATTTCTCTCCCCAGTGGTGAGGTAATTCAGACTGGTGTCAGAGACTGCAATTCAGTTGCTAACTACAGCACCCCTCCCCAACCCCACCCCCGGTTTTCAGGCCTCTTAATGGACTGCTATAAATTTGTCATAATACTCCAATAACCAAATTAATTATTACTGAAGTTACCGAAGGGAGGAAGCAGTAAACTTAGGCTAGAAGAAGGACTAGGGGTTTTACCATACTTCTGCATTCACTGTATTTTACAGTCTAAGGGAAGAGAAAGGGTAAAGATTACTGGCCCAAGATAGCCTATATAATCAAGAACAGATAAAAAAAAAAAAAAGATAAATACTTCATTATTTTTTATTATTTAAGCTAACAACACCATATAGCACTGTTTTATACCTTCTACTGAATAAGAACAGGCCCCTAATCTCAAGGAATTTATATCTTAAAGGAAAAGGAGATGGTCAATAACTACTTAAGAAATTAAGAATGTACAAAGTATATATGATGAAAAATTACTGACAAAGATTTTGCAAACTTACGTTCAAAACAATTTTTTTTCCAGCTGAACAATGGCAAAGGGATGTGATTTTTTTTTTTTCTTGAGGCACTTACTTTTTAGGACAAATTAGACTTAATTTTTAATAAGCCAACAAATTTAAACTCTGACAACTTCATAATCCTTCCATTCTTTGTGCTAAAACGTATCCTATCAACAGCTTACTCCTATTCTTCACAGAATCATGTAACAGTAAAGCTGGTTTAAACCTTTAATGTTAAGATATTAAACGTCCTGATTTTTTTTTTAGGTTCCTAATTTTGTTACACCAGAATTTCTTTTCCTGACACAAATCATATTTTCTTTCTTATAGATTCAATCCAAATCTCATCGAATCTATGCTCCTCCATATTGATCTGTGACCTTCATACTGATTATCACAGAAAAGGAATTTTACTCAGGCTGTAAAAAGTGGCTACTCTCTGAGTATTAAAAAATAAAAAGCTTGTGGTGAAAGATGGTAAGGAAGTGGGTTTAAATAATGTTTTGAAACATTTCTCATACTTCAAGAATCCTGAACAATCTTCTTGAGCTAGGCTTCATCTGCTCATATACTTCAGAAAAAGTCCTATGAACAGATTTAAAAGAAAATGGGGCAGAAGAACAGAGAGGGGAAAAAAATTTTTAAATAGCTATTCTTTAAGGTTATTGGTCAGGTTTCCCTGTTCTTAGTACAGCCACCGAAAAATGACATTACGTATTTTTAAAATGCTGAATTCAAAATCCTTGTAACACATGCAAATTAATTCTCTGCACATAATGTATTTACAAACTAGGCTATTTTTTAAAATGTTTACCCACCCATACTTCCAAAATGGCTGACAACCACTGTTATCCAATGATCTCAAGCAGTTTGATCCCACTGGTATGTTATAATGGTAATAACAAATTGTTAACCCTTTATAACAATATAACTAATATAACTAATATACATTATTAATGTATATTGTTAACATATATTAATATTACCTTTTATTACTCTGAAGTGTTCTTTACAAAGACCTACCCATATTCTGCATCCATTCTTCCCACCTTCCATTCAACTAGAACATTTAATTTTTAGGTAAGTTCAGAGCCTCACAGAACAAAGTCTACGCTTCTCAGCCTCCCTTGTACCTGGAAGCCACAGGACAAAGTTCTGACCAGCATTTTAAGTAGATATGTTCGTGGTTTCCTATTCCTACAAGGACAAATGGTATATCCACCCTGCTTCCTGGAACATGGATGACTCGCCACCATCCTAATCCAAACAAGGACCAGAATCTAGGGTGGTAGAAGAGTATGCTAGAGGGGATCTGGGTCCCTTCAGGACTCTGTGGGACAGAACTGCCATAAAACCCCTACACTGCCCACTTCCCAACACTTGTATTACAGAGAAACAGAAATTCTACCTCAAGTCAATCTGATTTTGAGTCTCTTATCTTTTACTCAGACTGCAAGCTAACACTAAATGATAACCTTACTCTTCCTTCAGTCATCAATCAGCGATCCACATTTTAGTAGAGTATACTTAAATTTTCAAAAAATAAAATGGATTATAAACATTAACTGTAACAAACTGCAATAGAAACAATAAGCAGAAAACAGCTTAAGGAACAATTCTGCTATATTACTGGGTAAGCAAAGAAAAATCAGTGGAGGGAGAAGGAAACAAATATTTATCACAAATATTCTCACTGTGGGGTGCAACTCTTGATTTTGGCTCAGGTCATGATCTCAGGGTTGTGGGATTGGGACCTATGTCGGCTCCATGCCCCTGCCTGCTGCTCTCT